GGACTTAGAGACTCAAGCTTGAGTTTAAAATGACCGCAATGACCATGGTTTATATTAGTACTAAGAAGGTCATGAAAGGCCCCAAATGCTTATTTTTGGAAAAATTATTTTTGGAAATAATTCAGTCTAGCATGAATAAAAATCTACTCTAGAAATTTAGTGAAAATCGAGTAAGCAGTTCAGTGTCTACAAGATTTCTAAACACAGGGTCCTCTGTTAGGTCATTCTGAATCAGAATTGATAACACAATAAATAACATAATACTATGAAGGTCATGAAAGCCCAAAATGCTTATTTTTTGGAACAAATTCAGAAAAACTGATTTTCACAAGCAAAAAATCTACTCTAGAAGGTAAGTGAAATAGAGTGTGAAGTTCAGTGTATACAACGTTTCTAAATACAGGACCCTTTGTAAGATCATTCTGAATCAGAATTGATAAGGTACGCAAATTCTATTAGTAGTTTCAACCCTAGGGTGCAAAACTCCTAAATTACCCCAGGCGCAAATATATGACTTTTCTATCTCGGCTTCTGAACGTTGTAGGGGCCTCTCTTTGAGCTCAAACTAACTACAATGGCCACATTTATATACCGACTATAAAGCACAAAGAAACTTAGGGTCTATAGAGCTTAGTTTTTAGAAATTCATTAAAAACTATTTTAACCTTCGTGCATCATCTCTACCCAGCTACCACCAGTACGTTATAATTTTAGATCTTTCTAGCACCCTCTGATATGAATGCTACCTCTTCCTCTATCTAGCTACTATACCACCAATTCCAGCTGTTTTCACCTACTTCGGCTACCTCTATTTAGTTACTACTTACTACCAAGGTTCCTCCAACTTCTCCTATTTCTAGCAATCTTAGCTTAGGCTAGTGGACTACTTCTTGCCCTATCTAGCAACCATCAGAAACAGCAAATTTCCTCTTCCTTAATGAGCTGGAAATTGTTGGATGCAGCGGAGGTAGCACTCATATCAGAGGTTACAAGATCTAAAATTATAACTTATGGTGGTAGCTGGGTAGAGTTGACATGGAGTTAGCAGAAAGTAGCTAGAAGTAGATTCTGCTACATGAGGTTGGATTCAAGTTGATTAGCCATAATAGCCGAGCAGTACTGGAGAGAGCCCCAGAGAGGGAGCTAAAGGCAGCCTAAGATAGCTGGAAGGAGCTTCTGAAACTGAGTATTTTCGCAGTTATACCAAAATTAAAGTTAGGTGGTATGTGCTGATCCATGAATGTTATCCGAATGTGTTCTTGTTGAACGTTTTACTGTGCTGCAAATATCTCTAAGACTTTTTTAGCCCGAGATATCATTATTAGGTACATGTTTGATCATGTTACTATCTTATGATGCATGAAGGTTAAAAAAGTTTTTAATGAATTTCTAAAAACTAAGCTCTATAGACCTTATGTTGCTTTATAGTCGGTATATAAATTTGGCCATTGTAGTTAGTTTGAGCAGCTCAAAGAGAGGCCCCTACAACGTTCAGAAGCCGAGATAGAAAATTCATATGGGCGCCTGGGGGTAATTTAGGACTTTTACACCCTATAGGGTTAAAATTACTAATAGAATTTGCGTACCTTCAGTACAAAAAATCAGTTTTTCTGAATTCTTTCCAAAAATAAGCATTTTGGGCTTTCATGACCTTCATAGTACCAATATAAACATGTGCATTGCGGTCATTTTAAACTCAAGTTTGAGTCTCTAAGACCTTCAGAAGCTGAGATACAAATTTCCCATATACGCATATGATATGAAATATGGGCGTGGCTCCACAAGGTTGAAACTACCTATAGAATTTGCTTACTTTATCAATTCTGGTTCAGAATGACCTAACAGAGGACCCTATGTTTAGAATTCTTGTAGACACTGAACTGCTTACTCGATTTTCACTAAATTTCTAGAGTAGATTTTTTACTCATGCTCATGTGAAAATCGGTTTTTCTGAATTTTTTCCAAAAATAAGCATTTTGGGCTTTCATGACCTTCATAGTACTAATATAAACATGTGCATTGCGGTCATTTTAAACTCAAGTTTGAGTCTCTAAGACCTTCAGAAGCTGAGATACATATTTCCCATATACGCACCTGATATGAAACATGGGCGTGGCTCCACAGGGTTGGGACTAGCGACACAAAATTCCCCCCTCGGTGATTTGAGTTACCAATGACCTATTTAACCCGATTCAGTAGCAAAAAACTCTATGCAGTGAAGTGCACACTCAACACCTCCCTGCTACTGGAGTAACCACCTTTTTCCACTTGATTATATTTACCGGTGGACCTCCGGCTTTTGTGTTCATTAACACGATTGATAGATATGGTGGAATTACATTAAATTGCATCGGTCACGTTTTTGCTGGGGAGTGCTCGGCTATAGTTTTATCTAATTCATCATGTTGTAATGGTAAAACCATGCAAGGACAATCTGTTCTGTCAGGGTGCGGTAGATCGGAGAGTGAACGATTAACATTGTGATTCTTTTGCTTTTATTCCTTTCATTGCCGCATGAATACTGATACTTGCCGCATAATAATATTAAATACTCTGTTTGTTATGACACAGTATAATTAAGTTGGCCTAAGCTACCACTTGTATAAAGGAAACCTTTAACATGACAATGAACACTGATTACAAGTTGCCACTCTGTCGAAAATGCCTTCATGAACGTTTAAAAAGTTACCGAGATGAGAATATAATTATTTGTTATTATTATAAGGTATTGTACAAACTTGCGCAAGGTTAATAATGGTCCCGTTAATAGGGTTAATAATGGTCCCGCTGTCTCATGTGTACACCCTTGATGAGGAAAAAGTATATCATGGGTCAGAACGAATCTATTTCGCGTTCTTTCGGTTGAATGTGATTACCGTCTTGAAAGTTTGCACGAAGTCAATCCTGTAAATGTATACTCCTTGTCTAGTAATTAAGTAATTTCTACAATCTCCATGTGTTTTTCCTTTTCAGACTATTATATATATATATCACAGGTTACGCCAAATTATAATGACATCGGTGTGCTCAAAGAAATCATTGACATCACTGCACGAAGTCAATCTTGTAAAAGTATACTTCTTGCTTAGTAATTTCTACTATTACACGTGTGTCACGCCAAATTATAATGATATCAGTGTGTAAAGTACTCGTTGCCATCACTCCGCAACTGCGCGTCTTTTGGCGCGTATCTTGCTGGAATTCCTCAATTCCTGGCTAGATCGGCGAGATGCGCTACTGTGCCGCGCCGAGCTGCCATGAATTGACATCGTCAATTAACAAATATTTTACAAGTATCACTTGTTAAACTTAATAGGTTTTACTCGTCTAAATTTCTTCGAAGTAGTGCGCGCGCCGCTTTCTTCTCGAAATGGCCCGGTACTACGCAGTAGCGCGCGCCGGGCCGGGCTAGTCTATATTAACAATTGAGGGACCACATGCAAAACTGGTATATCTGAACATATACCAATTTTGCGCAGGTAGCTCATAGTCTTTAGGGTGAAAAAGTGCATCTTTGGAACTTTTTTTGAACAATTTTGAAGAAATGTTTGAAAAAAAGTAAAATTTTATTTTTCCAAAACTGGTATATGTTACAATATACCATTTTAGCTTTTAACAATCATGAAAACAAAATGGTATTCCTGCAGATAGACCACCTCCAAGAAACTTATCTTTTATAAAACCGGTATATCTATACACATTTTATAGACTTTAGCCAACCCAAATGTTGTAGCGCGATGCACTACTGGGTCGCGCGCGCATCAAATAATGCTTCTCGTATGCAGATCGGCGAGATGCGAAGGATTGACATCTGACATCGTGAATCAAACCCAAATGGTATATCTTCAGATATACCATTCTCAGTTAAATTATTTTATTGTTTATAGTATAGCATAGAAAAAATGGTATATCTTTTAATATAACGGGTGATACTCGTAAAATATCTGTTCCATATATTGACCGTCGACGAGTCCAACTCGGCGCGCGTCCTGGTAGGTTGCATGTAAACCTACAATATATTTTGAGGTATACCAGTTTTGGTACAATTCTAGTTTTAAAAATGGTATATAGACAAATATACCATTTTTAAGAAGTGTTTTTTACACATGATATAGAATCTTTAAATCAGTAAAATACATTTATCTAAAAACTATCAAAAACAGATATACCAGTTTTTTGTATCATGTGGTGACCCCCACGGTCGCTTCACTATAGTGTAGCGTCTTCGACGATACAGGGGGAGCCGCGCACTTCGTGCGCGGCGGGTCATACAACGTATGACAACCAGTTTTGCATGTGGTCTCTCAATTGTAGGTTTACAACCTACTAGGACACGCGCCGAGTTGGACTCGTCGACGGTTTGCAATATATGGAACAAATATTTTATACGAGTATTGTAGCGCGATGCACTACTGGGTCGCGCGCGCATCAAATAATGCTTCTCGCAACCACAGATGGTATGCAGATCGGCGAGATGCGAAGGATTGACATCGTGAATCAAATACGAGTATCACCTTCACATAGCCATGTGTATATGCGTACTGCGTGACGCGCTTGTTTCACAAGTTTACCTCCTTTGCCGGTCGCGCGCTACTGCAAGTGAGAGGGCTCTGGTTAGAGCAAAGTATCACCCGTTAAGGCGCGCGTCTTGGTAGGTTATAAACTTGCTCTATCCAGAGCCCTTGCGCTTGCGTGGTGACGAAAGTGTGACGCGCGTTTCTGCAAGCGAGAGGGCCTTGGTTAGATCAACATTTGAAAATCTTATCTGGACTTGGAGACCTCAAGCTTTGTGTTTATAAACGTTGGTATGACGGACAGGTACCGCAGCCGCGCGCCCAGTTATGACAGTTTTGATATAACAAGTTTTGCCTTACTGCAGGCGGTGCTCAGCCTGTCATTCCGCCGAATCTCTATGAGTATGTTTATGAGCATTATACGTAAAGCCTGTAATTGTAAAACTAAAAACAGTTAGCCTTCAGGGTTGCACAAATGAAACAGCGTTTACTAAGTAATTTATAGTAATCAGACAACTGTCTGATATAATATAAATTTCCAAACCTAACAAGTAACTGTCACAACAAATACAAATACAAATCCGTTAAACTATCAAGCCAAGTCCCAACTATCAAACTGAATTATCAAACATATCAGAGACTTGGGCACGCACAAAATAATATTAATGTCTCGTCACTCTGCACTCGTATTCTCCTAGACAAGCAGGCAAGAAGATACAGTGACAAAGAATAGACTTTAACTATAGTATCTCCAGTTTCTAATTTCAAGTCTTTGGGTGGTTTCTAATATCTGAATGAAAGACTAAGTACTAATCCACGAATATTGTCATCTTGATTCTTGGTCCACAATTTCTCCTCTTCAAAAAAATGTTCAAACTTATGTTCGTACGATTTATATCAAAGTGATTCTTCATCTTTAGCTAATAGTTTGTCTGACGAAACGAAGGTTCCAATCTCTCAATTATCCTGTAAGATAAACTACTATGACATAGCATCGTTTAATTGATCCAGTAATTGGTTTGCTGACATTTGGAGTAGACTGTAGAGTGCCTCTGCCAAGCTATCAAGCGACGAGTAATCCGTTTGATCTTCGTCAAATGCCTGAAATGTGAAAATAAGCATATTATTTTGATATCGTTAGAGAACAGATTATTTATCAAAAAATTAGCATTTAAACAAATCAGAAGAATGAACTTATAATATTCAATTTGGAGACGCTGGGCGAGTAAAAGCAACAAAAAGCTACAAAACAGTTATCATTACCTTTAATAACATTTTCATAACATTCTCCCGGATGGAAGAACAGATAGGTTTCAGCACAGCATCGTCTCCGAGGAAGCCCCACGCTAAAGAGGGGGTTACCACTGCCATAATGGCGTAAAAACGGCCTGAAATAAACAGAATGAAATAATCAGCTTCAACATATGTTACATATTATATAACTATAACAGCTGGTAACCACTTACAAATAATAAAATCAGAGACTTCCAAGAAATATCTTTAAACTTGTATCTGTAAGAATAAACTTGTAAAATGGCAGTAATTATAATCGTTCACAACTTACAAAGGAACCCATCGGGTTGCGCCTTTTTAGTTTTAGTTGATATCATTCCCCAGACTGCAGTGGAGAGCATGGTTTTCCTTAGCCCTTGTGAGATCCAACTGTTCCCCAAAACAGCTGTAACTGAGGCCGGAGGCTGTGGTGGAGTTAGTTTTGAAGAGTATGATATTGCGGAGGTTCAATTTCTGGAGGACTGCATTGAAAATTTTAGGGAATCTTATAAATGATCGAGGAAAAAGTTGCTTATTAGTTATAAAGGCTACTGCTGGTAAAAGAGTGTGGCTCACCATGTCCAAATCATCGAAGGAATCAAGAAGACAAAAGTCTATAACGATATCGAATATGTTCACTGCTGCTACTCGTCGAACTGAATTGATAAAAATCTTAACAATAAAATTAAAATCTCATGAATAATTAGCTCCCCTCGTCCTTCATTAGCATAACAATCCCACAATATATGCTTAATTCGTAGCGTATAAAAAGTGATTTGGTCACTAAATAGAACAGTAAAAATAAGCAAATATCAGTATAACAGACCTTTTAATTCATCTTTAATGGACTGCAGGTTCCCCAAGTCCCCTACATATTCCATCATTTCGTTATAAGCCTGGCAGAAAGTTGGGGTGTCGGCCCCTGCCAATTCTAAAAGTTTCTCTGTGTTGCTCCGTCCAATGTCTACCATCCAACTTCGTTGATCTGGAATCTTCATTAACCGATCAAATGCGAGTCTCAGACATTGAACCTGAGGGATGGTTAGCATTTTATGATGTTAAAGACTGACCAAGATTATCTAAACCGAATGAAATCAATTACACCCGAATGTAAATCTAGCTCTCATTTTTAACTTTCAACCTTGACGAGGTATTCGCTTGGTGAGGAGAGACTGAACTGCAGAAAACGATTCTTACGACACTGAAACTCCTTCACCTTGTGCAGGAACATCTGGTCCTGAGAGAATATGAACTAAACTAACTAACATATCAGATATTGGGCGAAGCCCTGGAATTCATCAACAAAATCTAACAAAATCTAACAAAATCTAACAAAACAGCTATCACGATATTCCAAATGGACATATTACAACCGTTAATTGAGCAATTTTACCTCATAAAATGCGGGTCCCACATTGTGGGATTCCGCAGTTGTACAGCAAACAAACAAGCTATGTCTCATACGAATTAAGTGTACTCGATCAACCCCGCAATTAATAAGCCATTATTTCGTTCGGAATATTGTGTATTAAGTGTTGTCATGATATTGAGTGTCATCTAGCTTTCTCAGAACTGAATGGAGTTTGCATTGTGTTCACTTTCCTTTGTCTGTAGCGAAATCAATAAAATTCAATAAAATGTACATACGGTGTATAACATTATGACGATCCTGCGTCACAATTAATGTCGCGGTTATCAATCTAAAGAGAATGCTCTTTATACACTAATACACACGTACAATGTACATATAACATACCTTGTACAGAGCAGGTAAAGTTTCCTCCCCCTTCTCCTCTTTACCAAGGAATTCGAAAGCCTCGTAGAAGTCAGAGAGAGCAGCTGAGGACAGAGAGTCTGATCTAACACGGGAGCAAGGGAGCTGAGTGATGGATCTGGTGGAGGGTGCTTCTTGTATCGCTGAACCTGGGAGGAAGGAGGGCGTTACTGGGCGTACATGTAATTAGGAACCAACTGGATCAGTTTCTTGTACTGAACAGAGGGATTTTCTTGTTTGTGATTGCTATTGGCAGGCTAGACACATCTTTGGATTATACGAGTATGCATGATCACTGATACTTGGGAATTTGTTACCACTATGCTGCTGAGAGTCTATCAATCCAGGGACTTTATATCGCAATGACATGAGACGGTACTTGTAGAAAGTTCATTCTCCCCTTTCATACAAGTTCTGCTTGTATGACACGTTACGCTTCGTGATTTATTCAGATGACTGTCAGAGAAGTGATCTGATAAGAGAAATGTGCAGAAAATATGTGCTGACAGGCTCCGGCTCTTATGATCCCAATCCAGTTGCCGAAATTTTGGATTCTGAAGGTTGCATGGGGAATATCAGTATTGACATCTGCTTTTGTAAAAAAAGCAGGGAGATAGCAGACTATTAGCAGGGTGGATAACACCACAGCAAGGGAGGAAGAAGACTATTGCAGGGGTGTAACCCACCCGCTAGGGAGTAAAAGACTATAATTAGCAGGGTGATAACATCCACCCAGCAAGGAGAAGCAGATCATTTTAGCAGGGTTGAAACACACCAGCAAGGGAGAAGCAGACTATTAGCTGGGTGTGATAACACCACCCAGCAAATTTGGGTACGACGCCCCCAGTTCAAGGCGATTGCCATTATTAAACCATACATAGCTTATTTGTGGTTGTGTCTGCTCGGAAAGTGATCTAAAAGCCACCCCATAGAAGTGAGAGAGGGCATATCCAAGAAGCCGACAAGTGTGCGGACTATAGTTAGGTGGTGCGCGTTAAAATTAAATTGTCGGATCTCAAAAATGGTTTACAACATCTTTTTTAGTGAGATTTGTGACAAAGTTTTCAGTTCGAAATTGCAATATATTTTTAAAATTAATTGTGAGACATAATTTAGGTCTCACTTTTTATAGCGGCGGCTTTAGGAAGCAATATTTAAAAGAACGATTGAAAAAATTTGATGAGACGCAAATCAAGCGCTATATATCAGACGTTTTAAAATTTGTTTCATTAAATTCCTTTTTACTTCGACGTTTTTAAACTTTTATTTGTAAGGTTTAGACTAGTTCCCAATTTTACCTGTGTTGCCTATTTTTCTTTGTGATAATGAGCTGTAGTTCCCTTTCACCCTTACACTTTCATTGTGATGCGAAGATGCTAAGTTCGTTGAAATGTACGAATTTTTAAAATATTTGCCTGATCTTGATCTTGTAGATTTGTTTTTCAGCTAACTCCAAGCTAAGTTATTGAATCCGTCAGAAGTTAATTTTGCACATGCATTCTTTATTGTCGATCCACTTCAGCAGAAAGGCTTGTTCGAATCGTAGAACGGGTGTTAAGTTCGGGGGATATGCAGGTTGTTCGAAAAAAGTGAGCATGGGATTTTTTTCAGTCTTGTTCATGTCACCTCCTTTTGCGAATGTTTACTGGCAAGCTATTTTAGGAAAGATGTTAAGTTTGATTTGGGACCATCTACGTCAATGCTTTCAATTATGTTTGTCTGAGAACAAGACGATTTATTGGTGACAATCCATTTGATTTGAAAGCCATAGTCTCTAATCTGTTCCAATCCGGCAGGGCAAAAAATGTTCATTCGTATTATTCTTAGAAACTAGGGTTGTGAAAAAACGATTCTCTGTCCCCAGGTATTCAATTATCAGCCCCCCTAAGGTAGCTTCAACTTTCTCAACCTTCTTTGTATTGGTAACTCAGCTTGACTGTGAGGCCTTATTAAAAACTATACTCTGGCACATAGGTCTACTGTAATTAGACAATCCTCTCGTTATTATGTCTCTGCAACTTCAAAATGTTATGCTAATTAAATAACACTATAGGAACGAAATTTGGTTTTGGCCAAACGATTTAAGAATGTGCAAGCTAGGTCATTTTTGAATTGCAGGAATAAATTTCAAAGATACATTTAGTCATGCAAAATACTGTTGTTAAAGATAACTAGAATCTTACTGGGAAAATGAATTCTTTCAATGATAAAATATTGACTATCTTACTGAACATATGGTTGTTTGTTTTCATTAGAAGATATTCAGAATGATTTAGAGAATCGAGGATCAAATTGAGGACCCAAACTTCGACTCAGTTAAATTAGAAAAAACAAATGAGAATTTTGATCAACTCTCGTTTACTCAATTGTAGTCGACATTTCATCAAACAATATCAACCAGCTATTCATTTGGGTATTATACTACTCCGTCTTATAGGACGTGTATTTTGGAAAAACACATGCCTTTGTTCCTTGCATTAGCCAACTCGGTTTTTGTCAAATTATATTTCATGTTGTGGAACATTTAGATTTTAGAAAATGTAAAATTGATATTTGAACTGTGATGAAATTTGAAATGTGAATATCGTTATGAAGAATGTATTGAATTAAGTTTGTTGCCTCAAGGGAAAAGGTCAAATGAAGACTGGTTTCTACTGGATAACCTGAATCCGAGAAACTGCGCGAACTCAGCCAGTATTTTCTCAAAACTTCCGCTATATTTTTTTTTTTTCTTGGAATGGCGTATGTAGTCCCCGGCCCAGTCCTAACAATATAGGCTAGGATGGTTCGGCCTAATTCGGGGACGTCCAATAGAGAGAGTGAGCCGTAGAGGCCCGCCCGCCCCTTACCACATCACGGACTTTGCGGATGAAATTACAGGAATTAACCTCGAAACTTCTCAAAATTTGGTAGCGTGAGTATTCGGATGAAAATTACAGGAAATCAACTTGAAACTTCTCAAAATTTTGTAGGTGAGTATTGGAGATGACTTGAATGGATATATGTTTCGATTCGAGCCTGGGTGATTATATTGATCGTTGTTTCGGTGGATCAAGATTACAACGTGACTTGATGTGCGTGATGCAACAATGTTCTCCGAGGGATTTGCAGCCAGCTGCTGCACATGTGGTTTGTCGGTTTCAGGTATTATAATTATAATTAATGATGTTATGTTTCATTGGGATTGTATGATATTGATTCAGTTTCTTCCGATTTCTTTTTTCCAGCCCATTTTGGTGTTTATTTTTGATTTTCGTTAAAGGGTTCTGGATCATTGGGAAATAGACAGAGTGTAACCTCGAAAAAACCGATCATTATTATTAGAGGGAACGGGGCAAAGCATTTGATGCCATAAACATTCCCTAATCCTTTCCATAATTCTACCTTACTCTATTACTAACTGTGGTAGATGTCGGTGGAGAAGTAACATACTCTTTTAATCCATAGAAAGGCTATAATGGAATAAGAATGAGTAGTAAACAAGTCTAATATACATATACATATTATTCAATTCAGATATAATTAATCATGGTAAAATTTTGCACGAATTTTTAAATAACAATAGTCCAAGCTGTCAGTGCAAGTCTATAAACTTTTAACTATGGATCGTTATATGGAAGTGTAAATATGTGTAGCGTGAAAGCGTCGTGTTTTTAAATCTGTAAGTTCTAGTACTCATGATCACAGTGTACTTTTGATAAACAGTGTGCAGTGCCCTTTCCAGTGGGGTTTTTTTTTTAAAGAATTCTTTAACATTACTATTTTCTATTATATTATGTTTGTTTTATAATTTTGAGTAAAAATTAATCAAGTAAAACGTCGATTCCCATTCAGTGATTTAGCACGCTCGAGAAACTAAAGTAAAATCTAATATCTGTAGAAAAAGCTCACGATGGTGGATTTATCCACATCATTCCTCGACCCGAGGGCGGAAAAAATGTTATAAGCATAGAGGCCCGAGGGCCTCCGTGCTATACGAAAATATGTCTTTCATAGGGCTAGTATAGCGCCCTCGGGGACATATGAAATATTGCATGCGCAAGCGCGTGCAATAATTTTGTGCCCGCGAGTCTCCGGTGATATGTATATACATGGGATATATACATTAAAACACAGTCGCACCACGCATTCATAGATCACAGGCGATCTATTGTCGTAGTTGAATGACCGCCGCGCACGAAGTGCGCCGCTCCCCTGTATCGTCAGGACGGACAAATTACTTGAACCCACCCATAGTGAAACGACGTGGGGGTCGCAATTGATACAAGCTATCTATACATCACATCTCCGCACGTATCCTCTGCGCGCGGGACTTTTTCATTTTTCGTTGCATGTACGGAAGAAATGACCATCATAATGATTACAGGACCCGCCTAACGCGATCTCCAAATTAA